GACAATTACCTTTATATTTTTCCATCCAGGATCATAATTCAGTCTAAGATGAATATAATATTGCAATGCAATTGACAAAACCGACATGAATTCAGTTCCAGGTGTTATAACATTAGAATCAACCACTTGTGACTGCTCTTTAGGCGGAAGCTTTCGCCCTTCCCTTTCAAACTCCTCACGCAACCGCTCTTCTTCAGCTGCCTGTACAAGAAAGAATCACAAAATAGATAATCAACACATTGTATGCCACCATTATCCAAAGTGTTTCAGTATAAGAAAGCATAGAACACATGCAGAATGACAAATCAACAGGAACACATGAAGTCATAGCACTTGTAAACCGTCTTTGCAGACTTTTGTTTCTTGATATGGAAGAAACCCCATTCATAAGCACCAATTCGATGCCACTTCAGTACAAAGGATTGTTTACAGTACAAGAATACTAAGCACTCCAAGGAATCTTCTAAGTCGACCAATAAATAAGTCCTCTGAAACGAAATTGTAGTGCATGCAACCACCTAAGTTTTTATATCTATAAATAAAAAATAAAAAATAAATAAAAAGTAATACAAATCATCCAAAAATTTCCTTCAAATATAACTTGGAAAAAGTACCACCAAAAACATTAAAATTTTCTTCAGCCTGCATGAAGTTTCCTTCTGCCTAAAAGTATGGCTTATGCAACCACCTGTTTTTTCTATCTTTATACAGGAAAAAGAAACCTCCACATCATCAATTGCTTTTCCTTCGTTCTCTCCTTATAGAAAAAGAGAAAAGGAGAGTTTGTTGACAAGACACCAAGCAGAACCCACAAAACTAGGTGCAAGAAACAAAATCTACATGGTCCAAAAGCTCTAGAGCAGAGCTCGAAGACCGAGAGAAAATATTACAGTGTCCGATATTCCTACCTCTATAAAACTATTTTCCTAAATTCATGTCTTTCCATTTGGACCAAAATAAAGAAAGCTTTCTATTTCTTTCTCCTATAGCATCCAAAGATCTTGCCACACTAAGTTCTAAGTATAGATCTTGAGGCGTAGAACCCTCACCAAAAGCTCTTCTATTTCTTGCCCTTGGTACCGTCCAAATTACAAATATTTTCTTTACACACATTAACTAACTGCACATGTTTAATAGTAAAAGCAAGTTTATGACTAAAATTGACCACCATGTAACGAAGAGCTTCTCGAAAAGTAACTGAAATTTCCAGTCTGGCCTGTAAAAAGCAGTTGAAATAGAACAAGGAAATAGGAAAAATAAAAAAGAAAAACAATAAAAAAGAAAAGCATTTTTTAAACCAGTATAAGAAGAGTTCTTAGATGAATCTTATTCCCCATTTCACAGGCTAGTGCTGACATGCCTAAATCAATATCTCTTACATAACAAAAATTTGCAAGGGCATCAATTACATAAACACATTTATAAACACGAGTAAATAACTAGCATTACTTCCATTATCAGTTTCTTGTGCAAGTAACTTAGTTTGTGGGGCATAAATAAACATGTTGGTCACAGAACAGGTAACAGAATCCCCACATGCATACACATATTGGACGCACCCAGCATTCACTAAGGAACATACCGCATCGGCTGCATCTTTAGCCGCTCTAAACCGCCTAGACCGCTGTTGATTCATTTTAGCTCTTGGAGCAACACCATCTACCATTTAGTTACAAAAGGTCAGTACTAGCAAAAATGGTAATATGACTGCATAAGCTCCAGGATATTGAAAGCTATTAAACCATACACTTACCAATAGCCATGTATAGCAGCCTTCGAGGTCGCACCATCACAAAAAGTCTATCTATGTAGTCAAACATACACTGAAATACCTCATCAAAGGTAGTTGGAGAAGGCTGCATGAGTAAAAAATGCATTACCATCACACTGCCACCTAAAACAAATAAAGGCATAACTAGAAACAACATTTTAAAGTGTAAAAGCGGGATCACAACAATGCAATGCAGTTCCAGTGATTGTACTGATACAGAATATAATCTGCATGTGCATACTCCTCATTGTACATGCAAAAGAAACACAAATACAAGGAACCTGCTTAAAACAAGCATCACGCATCCTGTGCTTCCTAACAAACTACTCTTATCATCCTATGTTCACTCTTTTTACTATGCAGGAACATCCATTTCCAACAATCAAAAGCAACAACTATGCCCCACTCTATGCGCTCAGCAATAAAACTAAAGCAGAATACAATAGTAAAAGCTGCTCTTTAAGTTAATCGCTGAAATACTTTTTTTATATCAAAATAAATGTTTTTTTTTTTAAATAATATATCAAAAGAACTGTAAATGAGAAGATTTATTCAAGAAACTTCATGGCTGTGTATAAACATAGAAACTGATAATATTAGGTGCAGACTCGTACCTTGTCTTCTGGGTGAAAGCAAGGGTGGATAATCCCATTCATATCGAGATACAAATTATCATATTCAATCTTGTTAGGGTTAGGTTTACTGGTGTCAACTGGAATTTTGACACCATCAATAACAAGTGGTTCTTCCTCAATTACATCCACTATCACCAACGGATACTTCTCAGCTAACCACCTATAGAATGCTGGTACTCCCATCTTCAATCACACGAGCTAAAATTTTCCAATCACACAACCAAAAATAAAAGTATGAACAAAAGCAAGAAGGCAAGAGAAAATCCCAAACTGAACCAAATAAATGAAGATGAAGAGAGAAGCATTTCCAAAGACTCACAACTGAAAAGAAAAGTAAGAATGAGAGCAAGAAGACAAGAAGAAATCATACCTAACCAAATAAATGAAGATTAAGAAAGAAATGCTTGCAGAGAGATATATATGTAGAGAACTGAAACCTGGTACATTTAGGAATAGACTTTTTTATTTTCTTTTTAAAATATTTTTGGTGTTTTGATTTTATATCTTTATACATTAATTTGTAGGTTTTAGCATACAATATTGTCACACCGGTGACGGGTCAAAAGCTCCACAAAAATAATTTATTTTAACAATAATGAATCGTCATTGATCCTATTGGAAGTAGAATCGGTTAGTTTACAAACATTACTAATTCAAGATGATACAAGGTGGAAAGGTGTGAGGCATCCACCTCATGATGTATTGGGTGTGATCAGCATGATGATTTTTTTACCATTTTTATGGTATTTTTCCCTTTTCTTATTTTTTATTCATTTGTTCTTCTTTTGAAGTGTGTGAAGTGACTATATATTTACAAATAAAAGCCCATAAATTCAGATATATACACAATCAAAGGGGATCAGGAATGCCAAAATACTTTAGAAACAAAGATATTAAAAAACTAAAGAAAAGCAAAATAAAATATATCACTCCTTCACAATCTGTGGACTCCATTAGTTTTATCTTTTATTCATTTCTTGGTTTTTTTATGATTTTTAACCATTTTACCCAATTATGGAAGCATGTGAAATTTAAAAGAAATGACCGTTTAAAAGCTTACACATACTCTCAAATCTTGTAGGAATTTCTATACAAACCTAACTAATCATAGTTAACTTTGAATTCCAAAAATAAAGTTTAACAGGACATAGAAGAATTTTGATGAAACAAAGAATATGAGAATTGAGTCAATTAGCCGAATTAATCACTCAATACCACTCTGATTTAAACCTCAATTCATTAAAGCCCTTATGGATGCCCTTGTCGATTTCAGCATTCTATAACTAGATAAACATGTTGAGATAAAACCAATGAGCACTTGATACAAACTTTCCAGAACCATGTCAAGATATCAGCAAACCACTAAACTCATCAACCCTACATACCTTATTCTATCACACCTTCTAACCCATCTAGCAAGCAAAACAAATTAAACTGTAAAATTCACATGTAAGCATCATGGCATCTCGATAGAACAATGGGGAACACACATATCCTACACAAGCAGATTCATGGAGAACGTATTATCAGAATCATATCACCGAAAAAAAAAGAAAAAAAAAAGAACCCAACCAAAATTCGTTTATGGTGATTCAACCAGGATAGGCATAGCCATCATAATATCAATCTCAACATGCATACTGAAGCCAAATTCACAGAAGTAAAATCAAAACATAAAGCATTCTATCATCTTTTTCTTAATTAAAGAGAGTATTCCTGTCATACACCTATACTACCCACTCAAACTAACACCGAGCGTTCTCATTTTCCGGATACTCCCATAAAATAATCCAACGCCGTCCGAGTAAAGAATATAGGAAAAAAGAAACACAAACAGAGCCAAACATCAAATAAATTGAAGTTGTGACGAATTCGAATCATACCTAGAATAAGAATTTTGACACTAAGTCTTCGGTTTCAGTGCTTAGGAGCCTCTATCTTTCTCTCAAAAAGTAGTCTCCCTCACAAAACCATCAACTGTTTCCTCTCCTTCTCTCTCGCTGAATCTCCTTACGGCGTCCCCTTTTGCGAGCTATCGGGCTTGGCCTTTCATAGGCGAAGGAAGGTAGCGATTCTTTACCGGATTACGAACCTCGTCGTACACTCTTCTGTTTCTCTCTTCCTTATATTCTTCTTCGTCCACAAATCAGGAAAACGCTGAAGATCTCGTGCGCGTCCCTTCCTTTCTCCCTTATCTTCTTCTTCTTCCGTTTCCTCTGCCAAGAATCCACCGTCTCTTCTTCGAGATTTCCGAAGACCAGAAGCCTTAGGGCTTCTGGTTCCGCAAAACGACGTTGTTTCGATTAACGAACGAAACGACGTTGTTTCATGACCTTTTTATGGTGTTGCGCAAGCTCTACGACACAACCCACCACTTGGATCAACTGACAAATTTGAATTATAATTATGTATTTTTTGTATTATAGTAAGGCCTATAATTCATTATCACACTTGGCCCACCAAAAACAGGCTTCGAATATTGAGATCTTATTGTCAAAGCCCAGCCCAAGTTAGCATCCAACGCTCCTCAACGGTGACGTTTTGATGGTGAAGGCTGAATTCCAACTGCTTTCCACCCTGAAATTAATTGAAACGCACACAGAACTGAAAAGCACGCAAGTAGCAGAAACTTACGTAGATGGAACTCCAACGCTAGGAAAGCGAAGTACCTCCTGAAATTGCTTGAGGGCCGTTTGATTTCGATCAAGAAGGAAGCGTAAAAGAGAATATCATAGCAGTGGAGGTCTTCATTTGGTTGCAGCAGACGTATTGGGCGCGCGAAAGATCCTAAATACGAGAATCTCGGACCAGGCAAAGAGTAGAGAACGGCGCTGGAGTGTTTTGACTGATACTTTTACCGTACGGTGACAGCCATTTGGTTGGGGAAATGGATGAGATTTGAGGGGAGACGTTTAGGAAGAGATTTGGGTTTTTGGATGGGGTCGGATTCTGGCCTGAGGAAAAAGCGGATTGCTGGAGTTATTTTCGGAGAAAAGAAAGGGGAGGAGCCTTTTCCTTTATCGTGAGGGTCGGGAAACAGAGGTAGTAAGGATCTATTTTGGGGTTTCTTTCATAAAAGAAAACACAAGTGAAGTGTCAGTAGGTGAGAACAAGTCAGAAAACCAAGCAAACCGGAAGAAAATCTCGAAACGGGAACGTTTACATTTGGGGACTTCATTTAGGTACTCTTCATTTAAATTTTCTGTAAATGAAGATTACTTTGTGATTAATACTACTTGAAGAACGGCAATTGGGATCATGGTATTTGATTTGTTTCATTGAATATCTTGGATATTATACTGTCTTATTTGTGAGATTCTGTTTGTTAGTAGATATGAAATGAGTTAGCATCTGTTAAGTAATGTATATGACGAAACTTGTTTCGCCGTTGTATATTTATTATTTTTCTTTCTCTCATTAGTTTTCATCTTTTTTATTCTCTCATGGTTCAGTTTACTGCTTAATTCTGGGAATATTACTTTGCTGATGAAGGAAATTAGTTTTTATTACAAATTTTGATGGTATAACAGTTCTAAGACTGGGAGTATCAAGATGACTCAAAAACGAACTTGCATAATACATTCTGTCAGAATAGGATTTACAGAGAGATAGGGATGTTAATTCACTACTGCTTATGATGATTAATTCTGTCTCAACCACAAAATTGAGAAAAAAATATGTTTTACTGTTTTTGTGGGTAATCCTTTGATAACAAAATATATGGTGTTTGTTGCTACCTTTTGTCATAAGGTTTCTGGAAATGTTTTCTTTGCAAATAGATGAAATTAAGATTCATTGAAAGATCATGATAAACTGATTAATTTCTTGGTTTCTGTTTTCCCTCTTTCAGGGTCAGTTACTTTTCCTTTAGTATGAGTTATGTAGTTCTAATATGGTTTCTTTCCTGTTTTTACTCTCTGCATTGATACATGTTTTCGGTTTTATTAGATCCAATATACCTTGTATGTTTGGAATGGATGTGGGTATTCAAATCGTGTATCCTTCTGCATATATTTCTAAGTATTAGTTAATTTAATACTTACTCTTTTAATTCTTTGAATAGCATGTTTTTGGACATAATAGAAGTTTTAAGCCATTTCTCATCTAGCCTATGCTATCGAATGGGTGTCTTGCTCCTTCCTGTTCGATACTACTTTCTTTTACCTCATTTTCTCTTGGTCAGCCCAGTCTATGCTTGGGTGACTGATCCCATCCTGAAAAGGTCAGTGGTGACTACATCTTTTGAGATTTTGGAAGCCTTGCATCACCCTGACGTGACAGCTAGGAATGGAATGGAAAAAGAACCAAATAGGATATAAAGGACAGTTTAGATTTCAAAAAGTCTCCTCTTTTTGTTGTATGGTTAATTCTTTTTGCCAAATGCCATGGACCTTTCATCTCATAGATATGTTGTTCTATACCAAGATATAACTCAAATCATATTAGTGTTTCACTCTTCAAGTTATATGAATGTTCCATTCTTTCTCAGTATGATGTTTCTACATTTTCACCCTGATGAGTGTATTTCAATTTAGTATGTATTCTATAGAGTTACAGATGGACAGTGAAGCGAGTCAACAACCAAAGCAGGAGCGTTCTAGAACAAGGTGGACAGCATCCCTTGATAAGATATTTGCGGACTTGGTTGTCAAGCAGATTCAACTGGGTAACAGGCCAAACAATGTTTTTGACAAGAAAACCTGGAATCATATCCGTGATGAATTTAACAGACAAACAGATCTTAAGTTCAATAACAATCAACTAAGAAAACATCTGGATGTTCTAAGGCAACGTTTCAATATTCTGAAGTCAGCCCATGACCAAAGTGATTTTGCCATTGAGGATTCCTGTTGCATTGGCTTTGACCTATGGGAAGATATTGGTGTATGTTTCTTTCCCTGGAGAAATTGCTTTGACAATCTTTTGTGCATTGCTGATTGATTGTCCTTACAGATGCAGCCAAGGCCTGAGACAGTGAAAATCAAGGACTGTCCCATTTATGATCAGCTGTGTGCAATATTTGCTGATACATCAGCTGATGGGAAATATGCTCAGTCAAGTCATTTCGAGGGATTAGACAAATCTGTTGGAAATCATACGTCCGGCATAGGTCCATGTTCTGATGGTCTAACTGCAGTTCTTGAGGACTCATCATCAAAAATAGGGCAAACAACCACAGCATTGTCTGAGAAGTTGACTAAGAATATGGCTGACAAAAAGAGGAAGCGGCCATGTGAGACGCACTCCTCAATGGGACAAAGTAGAATGGAGCAAGAAACAGTAGAAGCGATGGCAGAAGCCTTATTTGAAATGGTGGCTGCCTTGAAATCAAGAGCAGTTGGGATCAGACAGATTGATGATAGATTTAGTATAAGTAATTGCATTAAAGCACTGGATGAGATAGAATACGTAGAGGAAGAGCTCTATTTTGCAGCATTAGACCTTTTTGAGGACCCTAACTTAAGGGAGACATTCATCTCTTTGAAAGGGGACAAGTTAAGGCTGGCATGGTTACAAGGAAAGTGTAGTAAATCAATTTAGCAAATATAAATTGACTTGCTATCTTATTGAATGGTCCTACCACAGTTTGGAGAGAGACATCTTATTGGTATTTAAAAATAATAATCATCCTGTTATAATTAATTATGTTTTTTAAAAAAAAAATAATAATCTGGTGGTTAAAACATTACTTAACAACTTGCTCTCATTTGTCAGTCCAACCACAAACCATATTTTTTCATCATTATAATTTAGGAGTAACACCTGAAATCTCTCATTTAGAAAGACCTTAACAAAACCTTATAAACAATGTCCTCAATTTTATAGTCTAGTGAAATATGAAACTGTGGTTTGATTTGATTTAGTCAATTATAAAATGTGAAGTTATGTATTATATGAAGCTCTTGGTAACATATCTTTTTTCTCACACATCATCCATCTTTTAGATCTTCTACAAAAAAAAATTAAAGTGAGATAATTTGTTTTTAAGTTTGATTTTTGTGTAACTTAAAAAGAGTGTTGTTTGGAGAATGGCAAAAGCTGTGTCCTTTAATGTATAAATTTCTTATAAATTACAGAAGAAACACTGACAATCAATTTCCAGTTATTCATGAAAATAGCTTCGTAAAACAAGAGTTAATAATCACAGAAACCTGTAATCAGTTCATGGGAATTCTGTATAGCAATCATAACATGGAAATGAAATGCAACCCTACCACTCTTCAAGTTCGTGATAGGCAGGAGGATGGCTTCAACTAAATTAGAATATCATCTCTTTCAAATTGAAGATGGAAATAAAAATAAAAAATTATTTTTTAATTACATATATACATATATATTAAAATTCTTAACTGGAAAAGGAACGGAATCAGAAAGGAACCGAAAGAGTCCGATGCAATTTAGAATTTGGAAATTCCAGTAGTAGATATTTTAAATTCAACCACAGCCTCAAAAGGTGAAGAATATTTCTTTCACCAGCCTAGAAAGCATAAAATATTGCTCAAGCATCATATGTGTATATATTGAATTGAACACTTTAAGTGCACATGGGATTTTAATGTGGAATTGAGAAAAGAGTTGTGCGCTTCCCATTATACTTTATCCTCGAATTTACCTCTTTAGTTTGTAGAACTCTAGCATTTCCTCTTCCACAGGATGAGTCTTCCCTACTATGACAAGGCAATGCAAAGGTGCTCCAAAGTCAACAGCCAACAGTTGCTTCATTGTCCCTGCAACTATCATCTGATCCTCACATGCCACCCGAGCAAACCCGACACAATGTGTATCTTCATTATATGCTGTAAACCAATATAAGATATATTACATTAAATGCTGCAAAGCAATGTGTATACTCACATCCAACCAAACAATTCTGGAAAAAAAAATGTGCCAAACATTTGGGACATCAGAGAGGACGCTGACCCCTCTGCTTGCATTGTGAAAAAAAGGCAAGAAACTCACATCTATAATAACAGGTCCATCTATGACATCTGTAACAGAAAATATGAAAAGGTTCTTCCTACATGATCAAACATGTCAACTTTGAACTTCTATATGTTTGGTTTCAATTGAAAAAAAAAAAACTTCTCTAGGCTACGTGAAGGACCGCCTCTTTTAGGAACTAGTTACATGAACTCGTGACTGGATGGGTATTAACAGTCAGGTGATGCTCAATTTAATGCCAGCTTCCAACAAGATACAAGCAACTGTTGTATTGTATAGATATCGTTACAATTTTGTTTAGAAGGCAGAATACTATAATCTACCTTAACTTGTTAAATCCTATTCCTAATATTGAATAATAAAGAAGCTTCAGAAAAAATGAAAACATGGGAGACTTACCACATTCACCACGTGTGTGCTCAATCTCTAAGAGTTGTTCAATGGCAGTATTTACGGTCATATATCGTGGTGGTTCATATTGCTTCTTTCCTCTGATATATTCAATCATTAATCAGAAAAAACTGAAACCATTAGAAATTTAAATTTATTGCAGCATGAAATGTTAATACAGCCAAACGAACAAGCACACACCTACATAGAGATTCCAATGAAGGTTCTTTCACCCGTATATCTACATTGGCAAAACAAAATGTATTAGATCTCTAATCTACTGGAACAAAACAGAAAGCAATTATCAGATTAAACAAATGATATTTCAGCACCCAGAAAGTAAGTGATACTCAAAAGCATTTTTTTGTCTGCACAATTACCAGGCAAGTGAAGGGCAAAGAACAAATTATGCAGCAAGAAGCTCTATGAACCAATAAACACCTGATAACAACAAAGCCTAATACTCTTGTTTCTTGAATAAAAGAAGATTAGAAGAGCCTGTATTGGTTTTAAGACAATTGATATGCTGTGTGAACAACAAACAATTTCAATATATGCAATATTGTTAAACAATTCCAATGTGTTCGGGTATACACCTAAGAACAAATTCAATACTCAAGGAGAACTGAGGTATTAACAAACCTCACCTAATAAGCAGAGAGTATGTAACCCAAGATTGTGATTTCTCAGGATCTTCTCATAGAAGCTGTCGGGTCTCCATGATTCGGTGAAGAAAGGTATTGACACAGTCTCCCCATAGCGATATAGCTGCAGCCCACAAATCCCAATTGCATTCATCACTGAAGCATTGTGTACTACCTTAACTGAAACTCCCAATTTCTTTGCTCGAACAACCAGATCAGTGTGTGTTGTAGCTCTGTGCTCAACATCAAAAACCAGAGTTGTTCAATAGCCACAAAGGATTCAACCCACACAAAAAAGAAATGAATAAAGAAAAAAATCCTTAATACCCAAAAGGGTCGCCAACTACAAGAAAAGCCACATCAGATTGCCAAGCTTCAGTCAGAATATTGTCTGCCTTCTCTTCCACCATCTCTCTATCGGCAACTGTAATAGGTTTGCCATAAAGCTTTTCCTGAAGGAATTAAAGAGCTGGATTAAGCATGTATATTGAAAATTATCCGAAGAAAAATTAAATAAAAAGAGAAAAGAGAATTGAATGTATGACCAGATTAGAGAGACCATGGGCAGAGAGACCAAAAGAGAGGAGAGACGTGTATGCTTCTATATAAACTTTCTCGCATTTCTTCACTGCATCTAATCCCCTTAAAGTTATGTCCCTCTCATCACCCAAACCCAACCCTATAATGTAAAGCATCTTCTTTACTTCCTCTCTTTCCCCTATCTTAAACCCTAAAAATTACAAACCCCCACCCCCCCTGGCTTACTCTCTCCGTGTTAGCGTGCGTTTTTGCTGTCCTACCCCCAATAAATCAAGCTTCAATTTTTATCATTGCACGCAAGATCTAACATACTGCAAAATGGCACTAAGAAAAATTAAAAATAAAGATAAATGGATACTTCATAATTTAACGTTAGAAAATATATGGGCAAAATGATAAGCAAAATCTATATAAATATATAGTGCAATACTAATAACTAAAAATTAAAAATAAGGACAAATAAAAATTCACTATTTAACTCAACCCAATTATTTGAGTATTTGAATATGTTTTTTTCATGTTGAAACTCAATTTATCAAATTTTGTCATACACTAAAATTGAGTAATTTAAAACAAATCGAGCTTACAATGAAATAACTTAGAAAAACATTAAACATAAAATTTGATGATTAACTTCAAATAGTACAAATGACACTTACACATTCATGTTTTGTGTACTTTAAACTCATATCTCCACTTGACTAATGACTTTTATATTTCACATCTCCTCTTAATAAATTTAATTATGATTTTAAAAAATTTTTGTATGACCTCAATGTTGTGGTAGGTTAGTGATTCATTGTAAACTTAAATTGTATGTTTACTATTTTCACTTTATTTTGTATGCCATGTTCATATATGTGTATGTATATATGTATGTCGTTGGCATATCTCATGTTTAGCTCACCCACTGTGTCTATTGCATTTGCATGCTTTTTGCTCAAAGAGACTCGTGGGAAATGCATGATAACTAACGCATGAAAACTCACTCATGCATGGCAACTAACACAGCCAAAGTTCAATAGACAGTCGATTGTGAGTGAAAAGCATTTAGCCAAATTTTGATATAGAATACAAAATGTGATTTCTCATGAATCAACTCCCAAGATCATTGCCAAACTTTCTCTTGGAGCTTCAATCATCATCTTTAAACTCCCTGTTACACAAAAAGAGGAAAACCCAGACATCAAATTTAAATCTTTTCTCGTTTCATGATTTTTGATAATACGTCAGAAGCAGTAGAGTGACATACCTGCGATCGAGATATCGAGGTTGAATCCCACTGCCTTGGCAAGTGGTGCATGTCAAAGAACCAGCTCCGTCACAATTAATACATTGAGAAACCTCCTTTTCATCTCCACCAAGCTCCACACTTACACTGCCGGTCCCCATGCAAAATCTGCATTTCTCTGCTCCATAAGTAGTTTGACATCGGGTTAAATATCATTTACAAAATGAATCATTGGGCTATTTGTCATTATCTTATATAGTTAAATTTAGAGAAAATTCCAAGTAATTGAGAAAAATCTTTTCAAAAATCAATCAAACAGGACCCTCCTCTCCTCTACTCTAGGAGTTTCTTCTCCTAAACAGTAACGACACTGTAAAGCTCCATATATGAAGTTACTCCTTTCCTCCTTAAAATTTAGATCAGTGTAATGGACGATGGGAGGTTCAAATCCAGTAATTATATGGCATGGATAATATTCGGCATCCCAAGCACGGAAACATTTTCATTCTATATCATTAACTTCTCAGTCACTCAATTACCGAAAGAAATCAGTACAACAAATACACCATTTAGCTCTGATATGCACAATTTTCAGATTTGATGTAGAGAAGCTTGTAAAAGAAACAGTAGATTCTTTTCACAGTAATTAATTTGTAATTAACATAATCTAGCAAAAACCAAAACAAAGTCTTGAATGTGTAGTAATTGAGTCACGAACACAACATTAAATTAAGCCACCCAAAAAGAGAAACAGAAACGAAAACTTACGAGCACCGGAACCATTGCAAGGGAAGCAGGGCTGCGTGTTTTCTCGCTTAGCCTACAACAACAAAACTTCCTTCAATCATATACTCTACATTGTAAAAAGGAGAAGGATTATATAACTTACGGCATTGTCTATTTGAGTTTCATAGAAGACTGGAATCCCAATTCCAATCGCAACGCTCGCTAAGCCGACCGATATTGCCACCACCTGCAAATTAAAATTTTACCCAAATTAACACTCTCCGCCACGTGATTGATTACAAATTGCAAGAATATCATACACGGAGTTGATCAAAAGGATGGAGATAGGAACCGTGTTTTGATCTAAATCAACAGCCCTGATGACGAGATAAGACGGTGTGGAACGTTGATATCTGGAGGACTTGAAGGAGAGGGACGAAGAGAAAGCAGAAGAAGAGAGATTGAGAGGGGAAGAGAGAAATGGAGAGTGAAGACGAGGAAGAGAAGGTGCTATTGACATTTTCGGGAGCTAAAGGTGTGGAGAGAAGGAGTGAGGGGCGGCAGTGACGAGCACAAAAACAAAGGCGCACAACGATGGCAGCCAACCAGTGGATTAGGATGGGTGGGGTCGGCTTCAACGCCAGCCTTTTAGGAGAACGTGGCTCATATTTTTGCAGGCTTTTATTGGGCTCAAGTATAGCCCAATTATTCACATGCGATTTTGTATAATGCAGAAGTTTATTATTATTACATAAACTTCACAAATCCATCTAATTTTAATTAATTAATTGCAGATTAGTCGTTAAGAATATGTAAGTAATTGCATGCATGTATGAGAATGACGTACCACCAAACAAGCATATAATTATATATCATTACCATCTCCAATGGTTTCCCGGACCCTCTCTTATCTTTTCTTTGTCTTCCTTTTTCGGTACTTACTTTTTGGTTTGCTTCTAATTCACATTAACTCACATATATATCACCCCCTCCCCCTACACATTTATTCTTATAATATATATATATATATATATATATGTATGTATTATGTTCATGTACAAGTAGTTAGTTAGTTTCAGCAGATTAACCGCTATGAAATTGACAGAAATAATATCATTAAAATTCAATTTTCTTTTCAAAATCACCAGTTTATAATTTTTAAATATTTGTAATTACTAAATTTTCGTACAAATTATTAAATTAGTCTCTAACATTCGACACCTGTTAGTTTAATGTTTTTTGTGTTATAATTTAATTTCAAATATTTTTTCATTTTAAAACATCATTTTTTTATATTTTTTATTAAAAAAGATTACAATAATTAATCCATATTTAAATATTTAAAAAATAACTGTAACTAATTAATTAAATTAATGATAATATTATGTACATCTTTTATTGTTATTGATTTAATTAATTAATTAATCAAAATCACTTTTGTAAGTTGTTTTCTTAAAACATCCAAAAATAGTGTAGTCATTTTAGTTTTTTTGTTAATAAATATAAAAAACCTTTATATTTAAAAATAATAAAAAAAATTAGAAATTCAAATATAACCCAAAAAAAATATTGAAAAATACATCGTAACAATTGTAAAATATCAGAAATTAATTTAAAAATTTTTTCTAAATTTTTATATATAAATTACTGAATTAATATATAATTATATTAATTAAGAGTGTAATGCACAATAAAGCACGTTCACAATCTTCATGTTGATTTCTCGATTAAATCTATCTTTACGAGTTTTTAGAACTTGTCCGCTATTTTTAATTTTTCTTTAAAATTTTCGGTCTATTTATTATTACACCTCAAATAAAAATATCACAATATCTTAAACTTTTAAATAAACCAATTATTAAAAAGTTGCATGTTATAAAATATTGTTTTTCCACATCTTCAAATTTAATTTAACTTTTGTAGGAAGATTAATTATTAAAGATCAATGAATTTGATACTATATAATTTATCAAATTAATTATCTATTAAGTGGGCGTGGTTAAATGAATATAATATATTATATTTAATTTTACAGTACGCGCATGAATAAACTTTTTAATATAAAGTTTTTTTTTTTTTTCACAGTGATAATTATTTGTTCAAGTACACGTACCGTGTCATTGTTAATTACGTAATTTCACAATATAATGTTTAATTATGTGTTTTATAGTGGTTCGAGTAATTATTTGCAAAGTCGGCTTTTATAATTTTTTAAGTAATTATAGAGGGTTAAAACTAATCACATGTCTAACAATTGTTTTAAAAATATTCTTAACCTAAAATTATGCTGATACTCGACAATAATATATATATATATATATGTCATTAATTATTTCCAATTTAATTTACATATTTAATTAATATGCTTTAGTAAATATAATTAAATTAATTATTAATTATGTGTTCCAATTTTAAAACATGCTTTCTGTACACTTATGGTGACAAATGACATTATTTGGTTTGGGTTATGTATTTAGTTTTTTTTGTGAACATACTGTCATTTAATATTAATAAATATATTTTTAATATTTAAATTCAATTAAACGACGTATAATTAAATCAAATTTACTTTTGGACTTTTTTATAAATGCAATGAATAAAATCATGAACTAAATTTACTTTTTCACTACATAAATTCAATGAATCAAGAAGACATAAAATTGAATTACAACTTAATCAAGATTATGAACATAATATTATTTGAAAAAGCATTCACGTTGATCCGGTCGACTCTACATGTGGAGAGGCGGTGGAGACAATTGACTGTTTTCTTAGAAGTTGCACGTATATTGATTTATATTTATTATACGAGAATTATAATTGGTTAAGAATAAATGAGAATTTAAAGATAAAACGGACAGAGTATTCTGATATTGTATATCAACTTTATACTTTTGTGAGTTAAAGGATTTGAAAAACAAGTGAGGATCTGTATAAATATTGGTAATAAACAACAAGAAACAACACATTCGTGATCTCCACCACCACAAGATATATACAAACTCAATGTAAATGCTTCATTACTACTTGATAGATCGATGAAATTTGAAATTACATATAAAAATCAAAACGATCATATTATTCTTGTTGGGATGCGACAAATATCATATACGAAATCAATAAAAATAATTTTGACAATTATATTAAAAATGTATATTACATTGTAAAAATATACTAAATACATTCTTAGAGTCGGATGCAAAAAAAATATTTTTCTTTAGTTTTTACTTTTATTGATATAGAGCTGAGTATAGTATTTTTACTCGAATGTATTTTACATTTGATGTTAATTTTTATTATCTGTCATATTTGAATTTCTAAATTTTATAATTAGTTGGCTAATGCTTTTGTTAGAATGGTGCATAAAGTATCCCATGGTAGCTTGTACTGTTAGGAGCTACAAAATTATATAACATCTTCCCACAAGTAGTGACAAAGTCCAAATTTTATTTTAAATTGGGGATTAAAGTATGTATGCTATAAATAAATCC